CCCAGTCCTGATGTGGTCAGCCCACCAGTCTCGCATGGAAGGAAGAGTACACACACCCATACCTGGTGGGGATGGGGATATCAATGCTGCCGCTGCTGGCCCTGGAAAGCTGCTCCCGCTCGGTGGAGGAAGGGGTCCGCTCCCGCTGTTCCATCAGCGCCTCCACGGGGGACCCGGCACCCCCGGCGCCCTGCGCTATGCTCACGGTCTTCTTTCCCAGGGGCACCGGCCGGGTCTTCACGCGCAGGCCCAGGGGCGCAGCCCGGGGCTGCTCGGTGAGTGCCTTGCCCAGCGTGGAGTGCACGGCCGCGCGCTCCGCCATGTTGAGCGCGTGATGTTGAATTTCTAGGGAGCGACACACGCTGGAGGGGGATGGCTGCTCGAAGCCGACCACACGGGGAGCTCCGCCCTCGATGCGGGGACTGTCAAAGGAGGCCGGCGCAGGAAAGCTGGCCCTCCTCTCCATGCCGATCACCCGATGCACGCTCGACTCAGAGTTGCGATGTCATCAGGAACATCCAGGTCCGGGGCCGGGGCCGAGACAGCGTGGCCAAACCACCTCAGGCTTCAGCGCACTGGTCCCCCTCCCCTCGCGGAGAACCTTGGTGGATGGGCGGAGGGCGTGGAATGGCAGGTCGTATGGCTCCTTTACTCTACAATTGTGATCTGATGACAGTGAGAGACAATAAGATCGTGTGAGGAGTGCTTCCGATGCATTTTCGCGGGGGTGAGGGGAGGTACGAGAGTGGTACGGACTGTTCCCATCCGTGGGGGTCGCACCTTCCGAGACCGACAGGGAAGGGTAGCATTGGGGCGCACGCGATCTACCCCTCGCGCATGAACAATTTGGATGCGCGTTGTGATCTTCGAGCTTGCATTGGTTCCGGGTGAGGAAGCGTGTAACACTGCTCTGGATGTGTGTGATCCCTCTGTGCGCAAATCAGCGGACCTTTCGTCCAACAGCCAGTTGAGCAGATGTCAAGCACGGACGATCTTTCCTGCGTTTTGGCACCCCCGCGAAAGTCTTTGTGACCAAAATCGCATTGTACAAGTAGACCATGGTACAAAGACCTCCCCGCTAGAGCCCGCCTGGGGAAGACGACCTGCATGGGCAGCACCTCCCGCAGGCCAAGTTGCCTCGTTTGCAGAACGAGGAACACACCGCGCTTCAGCGGCTCAGATCGGATCAAAGGTTCTAATTTGGATTCAGAGGAGTGAAAGCGAGCATGTAAGGTCTGCTCTGAGTCCACTGGCGCCAGTTCCTCGGTACACAATGCCGGAATTGGCCCAGCATTCGGCACTTCCAACCCCGGAGGGAACTGGCCGAGGGAACAAGTCATCGCGTCCACGTCCACCGAAGTGGGGTGTTCGCCCCGAGGACAACCGAAAGAGCGCGCATGAGCACTATGCGGACGCGGAGGCGGCGAGGTACACCGAAACCGGGCATGCAAACCATATACAGGCCGAGCTGGCCCTCCGAGCCGTCCAATGCCTCGGCCTCCCCAAGGTGGACCCTCAATCTGGTCGGGAGCATGCACGTTGTCAACACGGCCCATGGCAATGCGACACCTCTGGCTTGCTGGGTGGGGTCTGGTGGGCCTCAACCCACACCAAGCGCTTCACATCCTCCTTCTTGAAGTCTCCGAGCCTCACCCGCAGGGAGCTCCCTGCCTGCTCGCCGACCTGGGCTGTGGCTCCGGCCTGAGCACCGCCGCCCTCCTGTCCCTGGGCGGCTCCAGGCACGCCGTGGTCGGGCTGGATGCCGCGGGCGGCATGCTGACGCTGGCGGCGCAGGACCCCGTCCTCCGGGGCTGTCTGGCCCGCTCCGACTTTGGCCAGGGCCTGCCCCTCCGCCGCGCCTCCCTCCAGGGAGCCATTAGCGTCTCTGCCCTGCAGTGGCTGTTCGCCGCCCCAGACCCCGCCCGCGCCACCCGCCGCTTCTTCGCCGACCTGCACGCCGCCCTGGAGCCCGGCGCGCGCGCCGCTTTCCAGCTGTACCTCCCCGGTGAGCGACCTCGGGCGGGGGTGCGCTTCTGCAGCGCTGCCTGGCGTTGGCTATGATCACTCTGGGTCGAGCCGGCGCTCACCCCCTCCAACTCCCTCGCAGGCGACGTCGAGTCGCGGGCCCTCCTCCGGGCGGCTGCATCGACCGGCCTGCGCGCCACCTACTTCGTGGACTTTCCCCACCCCACCCCCGCCAAGAAGTACTACCTGTGCGTGAGGCGTGATGACCGCACGCGGCGCGAACCCTCACACGACCCCCCCCCCTGCTGTCCACTGGCCTGGCCCCACACCGCGGCCTGCACGCTGAGCTGGGCGGCGGGGCAGGGGCTCGGGAGCGACCTGGACCAGGCCCGCACCCGGCTGCGGGCAGAGCACGCGCGGCACGCCGCACACGCGCTGCGCATGCTGCGGCGGGCCGCGCGCGCATTCCTGGCGGCGCGCGGCGCCGAGGTGGCCGCCGCCGGCGCCACGCGCTCCGAACACCTGGCCCGCCCGGGGTCCGGGGCGATGGTGCCCTGCGGCGCGCCGCTGCACGCCTGGTGCAGCGCCGTGCTCGGCCCCAAAACTGCCACCGCCCCAGTCGGCCCCTCAGATGCTGAGGACTCGATTGGGCCCGCGCCCGACTCGACGCGAGTCGGCCCCATGGCGGACGCAATCACGATCGCGGAGCAGCTCGGCATCCCGGGTGCCGAGGAGTGGGTGCTGGAGCCCGGCCCGGCGCCCCCGCCCGCCCCGCCCTACCTGGCGGCGCTGCAGCTCGCCCTGGAAGAACCCCAGACCGGGGTCCGTGCGCCGCAACCCGACCCCTGGCTCTGGCTGGAGCCCGTGCCGTGGGCCAAGGCCACGCCGGCGCCCCCCAGCCCGCCGGCGCAGACAGCCGTGCTGCATGCGGCCAAGCAGGCCCCGCTGGTGGTGAGCCTGGCGACGGCGGGCGAGACGACGGGCAAGGCGGTGGGGCGGGCCTGCGCGGCGCTGGGGGCGGCGGTGGTGGGGCTGGAGGCGGAGGGGCCGCGGGAGGGGGCCATTGCTGCGTGGCTGGTCCACGTGCCAGCGCCCTCGGGAGAGCAGGCGGCGCGTGCCTGGCAGCACGCCTGGCAGCACGCCTGGCTGGCCTGACGCTGCGCGTGTTTGTGAGTGTACAGCAGTGGTGCGGCGGCATGGCAGGGGGGAGGGGGCGTGGAGGGGCAGGGTGTCCTGGGGCACGTGCGATCTCGGATCCCGGCGGTGGAGTCCCCGCGGCCCGGCTCATGGGCGCGCTCCAGGCCCAGAGTGTGCAGGCGTGCGTCGACGAGCGGCCTGCTGCCTCCGAGTTCGTAGAGGATGCTCGGGCCCGGGCGGCGGCGCTCTCCCTCACAGGCGCACCTGGTAGCTCGCCCCCGCCGCCTGGTCCTGGGCTGCCACCGCGTCGAGCTCAATGTCCTCCGCATCGGCATACAAGCCCTCCTGGGACAGGGTGTGGGACGGGGCTGGGTGAGGAGGAGATACGCAGAGCAGGGTACACGGTTCAGGGCTCTGCGTCCACGAGGACAAGGCGTGCGAGGGAGCGGGGGCTGGCGCCCTCCTCCCGGGCCCGGCCCACCCTCCGGCGGCCATCGGGCCCTGCGCAGGACGCCCCCTGGCTGAGGGGATTTGCCAGACACGTGTCCCCTCCAGCGCAAGCCAGCATCCTATGCCGATCCCACCACTCCGGGCCCCTCCCTGACACCAGCGTCCGGCACCCCACCAGGTCGTAGAAGGCGCGCTGATCGGCGGTCTGCAGGTGCACCACCACGTCCCCAAAGTCCAGCAGCTCCCAGGTGGAGCGCCCCGGACCAGGCCCCGGCGCCGGGGTCGCGCCGTGCCTGCCCAGGGCCTCCGCCTCCATGCGTGCCAGCATGGCGCGCAGCTGGGGGCGGTTGGTCACCGTGCTGAGTACCATGACCCGGGTCCAGTAGACCAGGGGTGCCACGTGCAGGGCGCGGGTGTTGCCGCCCTTTCCCTCCTCGGCCACCCGTGCCAGCGTCCGCGCCAGGGCAAAGGCCTCGGCGGTGGAGGCGTCCTCAGAGGGGCTGTCGGGGGCGAAGGAGGGGGCGGGCGGGCCGAAGCCCGAAGCCTGGGGTGGCGGCGGGTGGGACGCCGCCCTCAGCGCATGGGCTCTGGATGCGCTCCGGCCCTGTGAAGGCCGTGGGGGGAGGGGAACGGGGTCAAAACCGTGCCCAAGCAACGCAGCATCGGACGCAGCGGTGTGACACGTTGCCTCAACCGACCTTGACCCCGACGCTCTGCCATGGCTTCGCGTGACAATCTCCTCGGCTGCTGAAGCCCGGCGCCCAGGCCTGGGAGGGGGAAGTAAGCAGGTGTGGAGCATTGAGACATGTAAAATGAGCAATATGCATGCTGTTCCAAGCTTCAGGACCCCGGCGTACCGCCAGCATGGCTCTCCCTGGGTGCTGTGCGAAGGGCGCTGGCCTGTGCAGGGCATGGACGGGATCGAGACGAACTGCCATCCCCTGCGATTTGACTCTCCGAAATAGATCCACAAAAGGCAATGTTACGGCATGGCAAGGAGGACATGCATGCGTGGTGCATTTCCCCGCACCTCAGCATGTGGAGGGGTTGGGGTCCCAAAAACAAATCATCCTTGTGTCGTGACGTGTCGGCAAACTCTCAGTCCAGAGGACAGTAAAACCCGCAAGACAGCCATTCGTCAATACTGGAAACTCTCACAACCGATTGGGGATGCTCTGTATAGAAACGAAGAGAACCTCTGACAGCGCAGGAGTGTGACGTGATCGCTTGTCTGCCTGGCTCTCGTGTCCACTTTAGACTCCAGCTGGGAGGCTGCCAGGTCGCTGCATCACTCGCACTTGTCCCGAGACTCTCGATGCGTCGGGGTGGATCCCTCGCGGTCCGCATGCTGGCGGTGAGGCCTGGTCGGGGCTCCACAGAGGGGGGGGGGCGAGGCTCGCCATCTGCATGGCCTCACTCTCGCTCTCTGCCCCCCCCCCCAGGCCCGCTCCGGCATGGAATGGACACCATCCTTCACATGGACGAGCTTCATGGCTCCGCCCCAGGCCCGCTCCTGTGCCAGCAGCGCGGCCGCGACCCGGCCCTCGCCTGCCTCCCCCCTCTCCCTGGCCACGGACCTCCCGGCCCCC